AATAATTAACCCTTAAAGAAGGGAGTATAATATTAAGAACTATTTATAAGACTAAAAAACCTATAATAAATAGGTAATAAAGGTAATATTAAGGGATAAATAAATAGATTATATACCTTAGGAGTATTATACCTATAAGAAGCTATTTAAGGAGACTCTTAATATTAAACTACTAAAATATAGCTAATAGGATTATAAGATCTTTATTATTAATAAAGAAGAACTAGCTTTCTATAAGCTATATAACCTTATAGAACTATAGCTATAAATACTTTATAAATATATTAATAATATATTAGTAAAAGGCTATATATAACTATTAACTTTATTTATAAGATACCTTATAATATTTATACTAAAAAAGAATAAGAAGCTATAACTTATTATAGATTACTAATAGCTTAATAAGATTATATATAAGGATAAAATACCTTTACTATTAATTATAGAACTTAGAGATTAGCTATAAGGTAAATAGTAGTTTACTATATTAAATCTTAAGGGAGCTTATAACTTAATATAAGTTAAAGAAGGAGATAAATAGAAAATAGCTTTTAAGATAAAGTTTAACTTATATAAGTATTTTATAATACCCTTTAGATTAATAAATATACTTATAATATTTTAGTAAATAATTAATTAAGTACTCTAAGAGTATTTTAATATCTTTATAGTTATTTATTTTAATAATATCTTAATATTTTCTAATAACTTAAAGACTTATAAGGAATATATTTATAAGGTTTAAAGAAAATTAGAAAAAGTAAAACTTTTAGTAGAATTAGAGAAAAGCTATTTTTATATATAAGAAGTTAATTTCTTAAGATATACTATTTAACTAAATAAGATCTAAATAAAATAAAGTAAGATTACTATAATTAAAGATTAAAAAGAACTAAATATTATAAAGAAAGTATAAGCCTTCCTTAAATTTATTAATTACTATTAATAATTTATTAAGGACTATAGAAAAATTATTATACCTTTATATAATACTATAAAAAAAGGAGTAGAATTTTAATAAGATATAAAATAATAAAAAGTATTTAATAAAATAAAGAATTAAATTCTTTTAAAACCTATATTATAAATATTTAACCCTATAAAGAAAGTAGAACTTAAAACTAATATATTAGATTTTATAATTAGTATATAACTTAGTTAGGAAGATAATAATAAAGTATTATACCTTATAGTATTCTTCTTAAAGAAACTATATAGAGTAGAGCTTAATTACTTTATCTATAATAAGGAGTTTATAGTTATTATATATATATTTAAAGAATTTAAATATTACTACTTAGGAATATAATATAAAGTAAAGATCTATATAGACTATAAGAATATTTAATATTTTACTATAATATAATAACTTAATAAAAGATAAATATATTATATTAAATATTTATTAAAATTTAACTATAAGATTATATATTAAAAGGGATTAGAAAATAAAAGAGCTAATACTCTTAGCTAAAAGCTTAAGTATAAATAAATAATTCTAAAAATAAATAAATAATTATTCTTAATTAATAATAATAGATATTTAGTATAAAAAACCTTAGGAGCTATACTTAAGGAAATAGTATATACTAAAGTCTAAATAAATATTATCCTAAGTTTAGAAAAACTATAGTAAGAAATAAGAATAATACTTATTAAGGAAATCTATAAATATTTACTCTTAGGATATTAAGAAGTTAAAAAGACCTTTAATAAAATTAAATAATATTATAATTATCTTAATCTATAAAAAGAAGTATAAACTATAGTTTTAAAATATAATATTTATATATAAATTAAGTTAATATAATATAAACTATATAAAGAACTTAAATTAATCTTAGTATTAGAATAACTATAATAATTAATATCTTTTAATTATATTATTAAATTACTACTATTTAAGGAACCTATAACTAAAGTAGAATATAATAATATCTTAGTAATTATTAATAAACTTATAAAGTATAAATACTTTATACTATATAAAGAAGTAAGCTTTATAGAAGATCTTATATATTAAGTCCTATAATATATAATTATAGACTATAAACTACTTAATAAGATAATATTAAATAGAGGAATAATATTTACCTTTAAGTTCTAGTAATTACTTATAGTATAAATAGATATAAAGTATAAGCTTTTAACTACTTATTACTTATAAAGTAATAAGTAAATAGAATATTTAAACTAAATATTAGAATAATACTTATAGGTATATATTAATTATAAATAGAATAATTAGGTATAATTATTACTTATAATATAGATTATATATAATAGTATAGTATAAGAATTAATCTAATTATTATTAATATATATAAACTATAATTATAAACTAGAATTCTTAGGGAAATTAGAACTTAAGGGATTAATAGTACTTATTATTATACTTATAAAAGAAATACTATACTTATTATATATAGAAATATAAGCTAAACTAAAATTTATATAATAAAGAATAAAAAAATATTATAATAAAGTAAGATTAAAGGGATTAATCTTAAAGGAGGGAGATAAGGTCTACTTACTTTATAAAAATATTATAATAATAAGGCTAAATAATAAATTAAATTATAAAAAACTTAAACTATTTAAAATTTTAAAGAAAAAATTAAATATTAACTATAAATTATTATTACTAAATATAATATATATCTATTTAGTCTTTTATATCTTATTACTTAAAAAAGTACTAGAAAATATATTAAACTAAGATTACTTAATTAAAGTCTATAAAGAAGAATTTAAATTAAAAAGAATCCTAAAGAAAGAAGTTAAAAATAAATAAATATTCTATTTAGTAAAATAGAAAAACTATAATAAAAAAGATAATACTTAGGAACTTATTAAATATTTAAAGAATTACTAATATTTAGTTTAATAGTTCTATTAATAAGATTAAAAAGAAAAGAAGGACTAAAGAACTTAGGTAAAATAGAGGTCTAATTAATAATACCTATAGCCCCTAGAGACTATATTATACCTATAGCCTATTACTCTTTAAGGATTACTTCCTCCTAGGAATAAATATTATTCTACTTATCTAAATCTTATACTTTATAATAAAATAAATATTATAACTTCTTATAAGTAACCTAATACTAATAATAAAGATATAAGACCTTTATAAGAGCCTCTTAAAGTATAACCTCTAAGGAGGCTAGCTTATTTTCTAATTACTACTCCTTAGTAATTAAGTACTTTACTATATAAATATTAGTAAAACTAGCTAAATAAACTTAAAATAAAGATACTTATACTAAAATACTACTTTAATACTATTATAAGAATAACTAATCTTTATATATTTACTATAATAGGAAGAGGCCTTAATTATATAGTATACCTTCTTATACTTAAAGTAATTTAAGTAAGGTATAACTTTAATACTTATTTCTTTTATTAAAGATATAAAGTACTTATACTATTATAACTTTTTAAATAAGGACTATAATATAGTTAATAAAATATATAAAATAATAAAGGGATAAGAAATATACTAAAGGTATTAGGCTATAAGAACTAATCTTAAGGATAAAACTAATAGGGAGGGGGTATTATATTATAAACTAATATATAGTATAAAGGGTTATATACTATACCCTGCTTTTCTCCTTACCTCTAGCTAACTAGAACTAGATTACTCTAGATTACTAGTAAGCTTATATAAGCTAAGGACTAACTTACTTTAGATTACTAATAATCCTATATAAACTACCTAGTATATATATATATTTATTTCTTAGATAGAAATACTCTCTTAAATAGTTATTAATATAATTACTACTACCTTTATTAAAACTAGCTTCTTAGTGCTTATATATTAGTAGTAACTTATATAGTACTAAGATAACTTAATCGCCCTCTTAGAATAATACTCTAATTAGTTATATCCTTAACCTACCCTAGACCCCTATCTAGTGTAAATCTACTAACTATTATATAGTAGTATATAAATAATAACTATTAATAGTTATTACTATATTAAGGTTTTAATTACTCTAAACCTAGAGTAATAATAAGCTCTACTAATAGATAGAAAGTAGTAAAAATAATGAAAACCCCACCGCGATTTATCCAGCCACTAATCACTCTGCGAGATTATATACTGCCAGATTGAGCTACACGACTCCCAGATCCAGAACCCTCGCCTAAAAACTCTGGGCAAGCTTCCTCTTAAGACGTTTCCGGCCTTTTAATGCGAGAAGATGGGGTTCTAAATCAAATGGCTACAAGCATTTCATCGCAACAAGCCGTAACATACGGAGCGTTTCTATCTCCTCGGGTGGGCGGCATGTGGCGGTCGCACTCACAGCAAAGATGTCTCGAAATGTTCAACATTCGTAGTAATATGATCCGTACTAAAGAAGACAGGGTCTATGTCTAGAACCTTTCCTAGGACACAATAAGATTTTGGCTGATGTTTTCAACCAACAAAACTCTCGTCCCATAGAACTTGCTGTTGATCCATTCGCCCACATTCACTTCAAGAGCGAGAGGTTTGGACGTTGAATTGCCCTATTTCAGTGGAACAATTCTGCTTCTAGACTGACCGAAATCCAATTACATATGCCGTGTGAGAGATGGCACGCAGGGACTCAGCTTAACTCTGTGATTTATGAAGTCGACGGAAGACGATTCTATCTTCACTCGCTCTCTAGTACTCACAGATAATAAGCCGGAAACAAACGAATGAATCTGGTAATTTGGCTCCAAAGCAAGTGCGGGGCTGATCCAGGATTCCAACGGTAACACCAAGCGCTGTGGCGGCTATGCCACTCACCAGCATCGAGCTGGACGAATAGTAGGCTTGGCAGATGGGCAGGTCTGCGCACCATTTGCCTCAAAGTTGCCTTGCATGCAACCCGATTGTGGTCAGCTGGACAGTGATTAAGGCTCACTCTTTTACCCAAAGGCGATGAGTTTTGGCACTCCGACATCACGACTCGGAAGTTACGTGGCCGGCACATGCATTATTTGCAGCTGTCGCAATGGCCCAACAGATTCAACCGCCAAACGGCAGCGTCCGACGAGAGGAGCTGCATTCGAAAATAAACGCATTGCTCTCTGCTGCTGACCGCACGTCTCTCAAATCTGCGTTCCCGCACGATGTCTGGTCAAGGTTGAAGGAAGACTACGATATGATGGTGCGCGACCTCATCGCTCACTGCAAAAATCTCGTTAGAGAGAGGAGGATTTCGGCGGAAGTCGATGGGAGAGTCAAGGCCGCGCAGTCAATTGACAAAACTCTCGATCGCCGGCTACAGCACCGCATTGCGAACCATTTGGGCGAGTACAAGAGCGTGCAGGAAATATTCCACGACATGCATGACCTAGCAGGCATTCGCATCGTGGTTGATTATCCCTCGCAGCTGGAGCCGGCAAACAAACTAATAGAAGAAGCATTCTGGCAAGCCAAGGAGCCCAACATCTTCAAGAAGGAACGGCCCGTTGGAAAGAGGTGGGATACCTGGTTCGGAGCATATCAGAGCAAGAATCATCACGTCTCCGTCAAGAAAGGGACCCAGGGCACCCTTGGGGCTTACTGCAATGTTATTTTTGAGCTACAACTTACGAGTCTGCCCGAAACCTTGTACAACAAGCTGGCGCATCCCCTGCTCTATAAACAGCAAGCAGGGTCCCTCACTCGGCGGGATGAAATGGTCATTGACCTTTCCCACGGCCTTGCTCTGTGTTACTCAATCTGCCTATTATATGCCCAAGACAAGCTTGGAAATAATGAGAAGCCTGACCAGGGCCTCATGAGCGCAATGAGGAGCGCGGCGAATGATGCCGATGGTGGTCAATTGGAGGATATGAGGCCATTGCTCAGCATGATGCCCGACACGGTGAAGGCGCAATCAGCTTCAGGTCCGAAACAAGAGTCAAGCAGCAAAGTCTCCACCGAAGTTCTTACATCGACTCTTTCTGCCTTGCCTGATCAGTGTCCACCGGAGCAACTCTGGACAGGCTTTGTCAAAAAAATGAAAGGCTGGGATGCGAAGCTGGAAGCCGTGGAGACTGCTGTGAAAGACCAAACGGAAGCCTTTCAACAATACCATCAAGACGATGCTGATAAGAAATGTCTAGTCGACTTGAGAATCATCAATCCTTCAACTCAGAAAAAGACAATCGAAAACGCCAACGGCGGTCTTCTTAAGGGAGCATATGAGTGGATTCTTGGACACCCGGAATACCAGAGGTTCAGAAACGATAACACCAACAGATTGCTCTGGGTAAAAGGGGACCCGGGCAAGGGAAAAACTATGCTTTTGTGTGGAATTATCAACGACTTAGAATCCCGGAGCTCTACATCCGTCTCGTACTTTTTCTGCGAAGCTACTCAGAACAACTCGTTGAGAAGTGCTACTGCAGTGCTTCGTACCCTCATATGGCGCTTATGCACATCCCAGCCTCACCTAATCGCCCATGTTCGAAAGAAATATGATAAGGAGGGTAAATATTCATTTGAAGACTCCGCGGCTTTTTGTGCGCTGGAAGAGATCCTGACGGATATCCTGCAAGATCCTGGTTGCTCTCCCACCACTCTCGTAATCGATGCCCTCGACGAGTGCACCGAAGATACAATGCCGGATCTGATTTGCCTGATCATCAATTTTTCCAATTCTTGTGAGGCAAAATGGATCGTATCCAGCCGCAACTGGCCTATGATAGAGGAACAGTTTCAGTTAGCTGAAAAGGTCAAGGTCTCGCTGGAACTGAACAAGGGCTCTGTCTCGCATGCAGTGAACCTGTTTATCGACCACAAGGTAGCGCAGTTAGCCCAAAGGAAGCGTTATGATCCAGCCACAAAGGCGGCCGTGTTCGACGTCCTTCGCAACAAAGCCAATGACACATTCCTGTGGGTAGCTTTGGCCTGCGCAGAGCTTTCCAAGCCCCAAGTCAGGTCTTGGAACACGATGGAGCTACTAAATTCATTCCCAGCGGGTCTGGAGAAGCTGTACGCACGAATGCTTAATCAAGTGCTCTCATCGATCAATTCTGCCCTCTGCAAACAGCTTCTTGCCACAGCTTCTATTTCGGCCCGCCCGCTATCGTTCAGAGAACTTCCCGCTTTGATCCACGGACTCAAATGGTTCAGTCATGAGCAAGTAGAAGAATTCATTGGAGAGTGTGGCTCATTCTTGTCCGCTCGGGACAATCATGTTCATTTTGTACACCAATCCGCCCAAGACTTTCTGGTCGGAAATGAGGGTCGAGTCTTCCAGTCTACCATTCAGAGCCATCACCTGCAGATTTTTAGGCAATCAATGACGGCCATGCAGACCCTCGAGCACAATATGGATGAGATTTCTTCACCTGGGAAACTTATCAACGAGATCCACCTAAACGAAAACAATCCATTTCATACTATCAAATATTGCTGCCTTTATTGGGTTGATCATTTGAATCTAGCAGGCCAAGAGAGACAGGCCCAAGATGATAGTCTCGCTTGCGAATTTTTCAAAACGAAGGTCTTGTACTGGGTGGAAGCTCTTAGCTGTCATGGGTACACCACGGAGGGCATCAGCGCGATACAAAAGCTCAGTTCCGTCGCGGTACGTATTATTAATTGATACTTGAATGACAGCTAACTGGCTTGAAGAATTCCGATGAGTTGAAAGACTTGTCCAAAGACTTACACAGGTTTTGGAAAGATTTCAAAGAGGTGCTGGACGTCGCACCCCTCCAGTTATATTGCTCAGCCCTATTATTCGCCCCTACATCAAGCTTGATCAAGAATTTACACGAGAATTGCAAATACCCCTGGGTTACTTTGAAGCAAAGTTCATCACAAGACCCATCAGAAAAATGGGGCATCTGCATTTCGACTCTTGAAGCCCAAAACCTTCGGTCATTCGCCCTCTCAACGGATGGGCAGCATCTCGTTTACGGCCATGGTCGTGATGGAGAGCGCTCTGGCGTCAAGTTATGGGATACTAGGTCAAATAGCTACAAACAGTCGGTCTCAACAAGCCATAACATACAGAGTGTTGCTATCTCTTTTGACGGGCGACATGTGGCGGTCGCTCACAGAGCAGACGATTCTAAGGGCTTCATTGAAATGCGAGATTCGGATTTATCCCCGAGCGATACACAACTCGAAAAGGGGGATGTTTCAGCTCGCTCTGTTGCTTTTTCGCCTGACGGCAGGCAGATAGCCGCCGGCTTGTCGAATGGTGTTGTCCAGATATGGGATCTGGCGACAGGCTATCTTGTATATACACTGCGCGATGAGGGTAGCAGACAGGCGTCCTTAATTGCGTATTCCACAGATGGGAAACAATTGGCTGTTACGACCTCAAACACAACGGTCTGGGATCTAGCATGCGGCAAACACCTCTTCTCTACCGATTCCGGTGCTATGGGAGCGGTATTTCTACCCAGATCAAAACTAGCCACCTCAGATTATTTCCAGATTCAAATATGGGACACAGAGAAGGGTCAGCACTTTCAAACTTGGCCGAGAGAGACTGACGCAATACTTGCCATTGCGTCGCTTGACGTTCCTGGACTGCTACTTGCCTCCGCTTTGTCGAGTGGTAGTGTCAAGATATGGGACCAGGCTGGCAATTGTGTCCAAAGCCTCCGTGGTCATGCAAAAGTATCGACATCACTATCATTTTCTCGAGAAAAAGGCATAGTTGCCTCGGCCTCACTAGACGAAACCATACGTTTGTGGGATATCACAACGGTTGCTGAAATGTCCCGGACGTCCCATCAATTTGCGCGGAACACGCCGAGGCACGATGACTCTACGAAACACGATTCTCCACGTCACTCTGGTGAGGTTAGGGCAGTCGAATTCTCCCCTGACGGTAAATGGCTGGCCTCTGCTGCGGCGGATAACACAATTAAGATATGGGACACTGCGAACTTCTCATGCATGCGAACCTTGACTGCACAATCCCTTCTGAAAAGACATATCGCTCGGCTTCAGTTCTCCCCAAATAGTCGCTGGCTCCTTCTGAAACCCAAGAGGAATGAATTACCTCATTCAGCTACAATATGGGATTTGACAAGTTTAGAGTCTACCGAGGCTTTCAACTTCAATAACGGCGAAACCAATGACGACTCCCGACTTGTAAGTAGCCTCTCTCCTGACGGCCGACTTGCTGCGCTGTTGGAAGGTCTTATGATCCGCTTGATGGATCTAGAAACGGGGGAAATGTTGCAACATTTCAAAGTCCGCACTCAGTCATTATTGTTCAAGAGTTTAGCCTTGGCTCAGACTTTCTCGTCAGACAGTCAAATATTGGTCCTGGCTTCGAGTACTCTGGCTCGCGCTTACATTATTTCAACGGGTCAAGAGCTGTGGAGTGTTGAAACAAATGACGGTGAGATTTGTTCTGAAATCGCTTTGTCTCAAGATTCCACACAGTTCGCCATGCTCTCAGACCATGGACTTGACGTTTGGAAGGTAGACACACTGCCACCTGAGAGGCTCTTTAGGTTCTCTTATGCGCAAGAAAAATGGCCGCACGCTATCCTTGGAGGGAAACTAGCCATCAATAGGAGGTGGCTTGTCTGGTGCGAGCCATCATACATAAACATATACGACCTAGAGAACCTTACCCACCATGAGATGCGTAAAACCAGCGTGATCACCAGTGTGTCCTTTGACACATCCGACGAGAACTGTTTTCATACAAACGCTGGTTCTTGGACCATTGACAAGAAAGGTCATGTCAAGTCCGTGGGCTACGGCTTCAGCGCCGATGGCGCGTGGATTACGCGGGACTCCAAGAGAGTACTCTGGTTGCCACCGCAATTCCGGGGAGGCTCGGCAAGGGTGAGGGGAGATAGTGTTGCACTTGGAAGCGCATCAGGATCCGTGGCCGTGCTACATTTCAAAATGTGAATTGGTTTCATTTGTTTTAGTGCATGGTGCTCTGTCCAACACCGCTGAATGGCCTCGATCCACTGACCTCGCTCGGTAAACGTCCACGTCAACAACACACATAATCACCCAATGAGAGGAGTGAGTCTCGATGAAACTGAGAGCCATCCTTTCGCTTACAATTCTAGTTTGGCGAGTTACGACATACTTCGTCTCATGTGATAGGCATATGCTACTCCTGCCGACCACTTTGGCATGACGTGTTTGACACAATGAGACTGATAATACCAAGCTTAGCCTGTTGAATGTTTGTCATATTGGCTGCCTCACAAAGCTCACCTCAGCCGGGTATTGTAAGGGGGCTGTGTTCAAGATGAATACACGTAGCTGTAGAAAACTGGTGTTGCGGTTGATATCCCCTGCTAGGAGGATTCACGATGGACGTAATAGGGCTGCGCATGAACCAAGTCTTCTTAACAGCATAATTCATATGATTAATCAATTAAACCATTCATGGCCTAGCGTTAGATTTAGGTTTCTTACAAATACAGTTAACATTTAATAGCCCAGTCAACATAAGTCAGTATATACCTAATGTGAATGATTACATCTGGGCTGTGCTCGGGTATAGGGTATTCTACAGTGGGCCCAGCCCTGAGCTAGTCCAACTTGGGTTTGTGGAACTTTTTTAGCCGACATTTGGTCACAAGTAGCGGTAGAAGAGAGGATGGAATCATGGAACACTGTCATCAATTTCGGTACTTTGGCTCTTTTAAATGAGGCGTGAGGCCTGCAGGTGGATGCCGCACGGGAGTCTCGGGAGGCAGATCACCCAAAGCAGGCGTCTTCGATTTAGAAGTCTGACATGCCGTTGGCCACATTGAAGGGCTCACAGGGCCGCCGGCGAGCCGAATGAAGCAGGGGGCCCATATTATCTCATCCTTAAATGAATAGCCTATCGAATACCCGTGGGCACGTTAAAGTCGACCCCATGGCTGGAAGGAGCAAAGCGTAGTGGTGTCAGCTTGCTCAGCATTGCCCGACTTCTGGTCCCGGTTGGGGGCTGAGCCGGCACTTAGCCTGGGGCTGGAGTCGGCATTGCGTCACCAGGAGACATCCAGAGGGCTGCTTATCAAACGCCCTGTGAGCTAAAATGTACCGATGCCGCTGCAGATTTGTACCTGGCGATCTTGATGTGCATGAACTTCACGATGCAGACGCGGATCGACGAAGCAATGACTGTCCATAGTAGTCCCCAAGACGCCCAATCTCCCGATGTGCATACTCCGGCCTTCAAGCCGCGGAGAGCGCACGAGAAATCGAGAAATGGGTGTGTGAGGTGTAAAAAACAGAGGAAGAAGGTAACATGTCGCGATGCCATACCCCGGACCGGATAATGACTAACGGCTATTGTGTTATAGTGTGATGAGGCCAAACCACGATGCTCAAGATGCGACATTCGTGGTTACACCTGCGAGTATGCCAAAGATGATTCCCAAGGACGAAGCCTCTCAACAAGAAAAAAGCGAAGCAGCATCGACAACATCGATCCGCGACTGGCACACCTCACCATCCCAACCGATACATGCTCTGATATCAGCAGCCAGCGTTCAGTGTCCAATGTCTCCGTGTCACCCTCTCCCGCATACGTGGATATGCAACCAAGAACCGAACTATACGGATCACCTCAAATCCTTGATGCAACCGAGTTGGCCCTACTAAGTCACTACCTAACTCACACCAGCCGGATAATCCCAATCGACTCGGTCGACCGCTACGCCCTGCAGATAGGCATCCCGAATCTTGCATTCCAAAGCAAGCCCGTCATGTCATCCCTCCTGGCGCTATCCGCCGTCAGCAAATGCCACAGCCTGGTAAAGGGTGACATCGGGCACCAAAAGACCCTTTCTGACATCTGCGAGCTCCTCGAGTTCGCGGGTGACCACCACAAGGCATCCCTCAGACAGATCCAGGTCACCATGCAGAGCCCCGCCCAGTACGAGTACGTCCTGGCCAACGCCCCCCTGATGGTGCTGTACTGCTCCGCGGACCACGCAGTCCGCGTCCACCTCACGAGGACGGCAAAGCTATGCGGTGTAACGCTGCCGGAGATCCTGCTGCCCGCCCAGTCGCAGTGGATCTCCCTCATCCGGGCGGCCCACGCGGCATACAGCGGGCTGATGAACAGTCCCAGCGATCCGGTCGAGGTTGGGTCAGCGTCGCATCTTGGCACGCCGACGGAGATCCAGGAGCAGCGGCCGCTCATGCCGTCTCTCTGCACCTCTGTCGACGAGTATGTTCCCGAGGATGGCCCTTCGGAGGGGACGAGGAGGCTGCTGTATCCCATTATCGCAAACACGTATAGATCAGCCCTGGCAAAGTTGCAAGCCAAGGCCATGTCCATTTGCCCATCGGACCTCTCAGATGGGCTATCTGTCTCGGAAACAGACGGGCTTTATGTCTGGCAGCAGCAGTCGTACACCAGTTGCCAGGCAGACCTGGATGCCACGCTTGTCGCGCTGGAAATCCTGCAGGACGTAGCCGATACCGTCTACTGCACTATCGATGGCAGTTCTCCCGATCCCCAGTTTCTCGGTGGTATGGCTGGAGCTCAGGTTCCGCCGCCTCTGGGCCGTTTGCGGCATGTTTCCCCGTGGCTGAGGACGTACTCGGCCAGGGTGACGTCTTCAACGCCAACGAAGTCGCTTAGGAGAACGATCACGGCGTTTCTGAACAGGATTCCCATCGAGTACCTGCATTTTGTGCAGTCTATTCTGGATCTGATGCCCATCGAGCCCAGTTATAGCGAGCCTCAGATACGGATAGAGCAGGAGCAGTTTCCACCCAGTGCGGTTCACAAGCTGGCGATGGATGTATTTGCGCACTGGCTTGTGTTTATGGTACTTTTGGACGGGGTGTGGTGGATAGGCGGGACTGGTGAGTGGGAGCTCGAGAGGGTTGTGTCGTTTATGCGGACGTATGAGTGGGCGGACGTCTCGATGGACGCGGGGGAGAGATGGTGGCCTGAGAGCATGTCCAAAGTCAAGAGGGAGTTGGCGGAGCACATGAGGGAGGAATAGCTATGTAAGGTTAGTATAAAATAATAGATTTCTTATATTATATACCCATTGAAGTTTTTATGGTGTTGGGAGTTCGGGTATGGGCCGCAAATTGTGTTTAGAAAAATAAACTGTGTGACGACGTCACGTACGTAGCCTGATCTTGGGATAACGCTTGTTTACGGCAAAAGAAACAAGTAATATATTCTTATTATTATAAGGGAATGAATTAAGAATTTGAAGTAAATAAATCTCTTTTGCTCGGGGGGTGAATAGCAAAACTAGAAGGAGGTGTAATTCGAACTACCTACATAAGCTAACGTACAGCTATCTACATTAGCTTGTCTAGGTCGCTCAGGGCTCACTGTAATCTCTGGGCCCACAATGGAAATCCCGCATATATGAGGGGGGCCGTAGGGCGTGGAGACCACATTGGCCTGTCAAGACCATCCATTAGCATCTCAGTACTACCTACGGTAGGTAGAAATGCTGTTTGTACAGCCAATTTTGGCATATCTGTACTCTTACGTGCCTACTGCTACATTTCACAATGCCGCCACCCGGCCGGAGCAGCACGGCCTGCCACCGATGCCACAAGCGCAAGGTGAAATGCTCTCGAGGTAAGGAACCAAAGATGCTGGCGTTCGCCGCCGTAGGTGTACCGTTGCTCACTCTATTTTTGCAGAGCTGCCATGCCGGAATTGTCAGCTGGCCAACCAAGAATGTACATATCCCATGCGCGACCGCAACGTTACTGTGTCTGAACGCTTTATCCGCAATCTGGAAGCCAGAGCGCACAGCCATAGCAGTCAGCTCCCGCAAGCAAGACCCTCGTCGGAGCCCGAGTCACTTCGTGGAACCGCCAGTGAGGCCTTCCCGCCACCGCAGCCGCTCGTCGAGGACTCCACGTCCGAGGTCTTCCTTGCCAGGCTGAAGCAGATACGCCAGCATAATACAGGCCCTACCTTCTCAGAACTTACCCCGTCAAACCCTTATGCTGACGGTGAAAGTCCGGCGGCGGCGCCTTACGACTTTGTTCAGCTAAAATTCGACAACTCCGGTTCGTTGGCGCCTCAATGTCCCGCCTTACATCTTGATGTTATCACTAATTGACATTAGACACTCCATGTTCTTTCAGGCTGCCTCCATATCCGTATGCCGTCGCATTGTTGGATCAATTCGACGTATTCTTGGGCCACGATTGGCATTGGTTTCTTCGCAAAAGTTTCCGATCGAGGTTTGATCTCACTTATAGGAACCCAAACTCTCCCCAAGCCAAGGATAGGGTCTGGCTCTGCACTTTGCTCGTCGTGTTTGCTCTAGGAGAGTCATACAATGTCGGGCCCCCTCCCGAAATCCGGCTGGGTCGCGTCTCGGGTCAAGATGAAGACCACCTGGTAGACTCACGACGCCCGCCCGGCACCGAATTCTTTGAGCAAGCCATGTCCCTTCTCAAGATCAGTCACGAGGACCCGACTATCGACCAGATCATAGCTCTTAACTTAATTGTGAGTATTGCTTTCCCCTACTTTCGGCAACAAAACAGCATGGATGACTGGATTGACTGGAACTTGTTCCGTTCAGACATTTTACTCTTACAGTCTTAATCGCAAAAAGTCCGCCTACGTGTACGCGGGAATGTCTGCCCGGCTTTCAAACGTTCTGCGCCTGCACAAGCCGTCTTCCTCATCATCACTCTCTGCCGTGGAATCCGAGCATATGAAGCGCGTTTGGTGGACCGTCTACTGCTTAGATCGTATGACGAGTACGGAAATGGGTCTCCCACCTATTTTCCGTCGCGACGAAGTCGAGCTTGGTTATCCTAGCGATCAGATGATCCCACCTGACGTTGCTGACGAGTTCTCCAGCGGAGTGACGCTCGCAACGCAGGTCCAGCTTGCCTTTATACATGCCGACATTTGCCAGACAGTCAGAAGCCTGGGCGATACCGGTACGGTACATGACCAGAAGCGGGCGGAGCCCATCATACGGCAGCTGGAGACTCTACGGGCACAACTGCCTCCCCAATTGTCGTTTGATGTGGAAAACGGCCTGCCGACGGAGATGCGAGAGATGAAAACCCGATCACTCGTGTCACTGTATGAAAGATACTACCAGGTAAATACTTCAGAACCCTTCCCCCCCTCATTGCCCGTCAGCGGAATTACTGATGGCAGAAGTGTTTCGTCCTCTTGCTGCGACCATTTTTCTTGAAAGAAATCAACTACCTGTTGATGAACGATACGGCAAATGCATGCCAAGAGAGCTTGAAGGATCTGACCAACCTATGTCTCCGTGCGGCAAGAACCAATTTGTTGCTCATCGTTGACCTAAAACGGTGTGAGAAGTTGGGTTAGTTGAATTCTTCTTTCCGTGATTGCCCAGTTTAACATAGGCGACCTTTTTAAGAAATCACCACACACTAATACAGCTTTTCCAGCCATGTTTGGGTTTTGGGAGAGTTCGCATCTCTTCTCTGGCCTTACAATATTGTCGCTCGCCATATCGGTAAACTCCAGATGGCCGGGCAGCTTCGAGGAGAAGCCAGACGACCAAACGACGTACTGGACTGCCAAGGGTGTCCTGGGCGAGATGGCCCAGGCTGGGAACCTTGCTTCGAAAGGCCAGTTACGCATGCTGGATGAGGTAGAGACCTTGCACGACGCACTGACTTGGACCGATAATACGGCTTTTGACCTCTTTAACTTCTGGGATACAGAGGCATGGCCGCATTGATGCTTTCATTGACCCGAAGAAGCAAATTACCCTGTTCTTCCCATTCTTGAATAGTCGGTTCTAACGAGATACATCACTCTAACATAGTCTCAAACTGAAAATAGCTTTTAATTCCTTTTAAAACAGCATTAAGGGTTCGTACGAATAAAGGCAGTTACGGGATCTAAGCACGGATTATTCTCAATGTTGGCCAACCAGGAGAGCACGCCGTCTACGTCGACTTGTGTATCACCAAGGCATCTTCGGAATTTCTCCTCGACCCTTTTCGGCGAATATGCCGTCTGCGACTCCCACGGATCCCCATCGGCATATTCCATATGCTCGGTCCAGCTCCGGCCATTGATGACCAGCGTCGCAGCCCCTGGCATCTTCCTCATCTGGTTCCTTACCATGTCCTGTGCAAACGTCTCCGCGCCATCGAGCTCTTCGACGCGCACCTTGGCCCGGATTGCCAGCGCGGCTTCACTGTCCGCAACTCGCCTATCAAACCACAGCGCCCCGGGGACCTCGCCCAGGACCATCATCGCCACCGCGTGCGGGTAGCTGAAGGAGTAACTGCAGAAGGTCTTGGGCGTGGGGTTCCGGAACCGACCCGAGTTGGCCAGTGGTCCTGTGTGTATGACCACCGAGTCGATGGCTGCCGGATCTGGAGGGTGTTTCTGCAGCAGTCGGTCCAGTGCACTCAGGGAACTGTGCATGAAACGACAAGTTGGCCAGGGCTTGTAAGTGATATCGGCTAGGTGCCACATCTCACCAAACTGCTCATCCAGGCACTCCTTACGGGGCATCGCCGCGGCGACAAACTCGGGTATCCCGACCTCGCCGTCGAGGATGTCGTCAAACCCCGTTAGGCCAGCTTGAGCGCCCAGCACTCCGTTCAAGCCCACGACGGCGCACCATCCGGCGTCACAGTACTTGCAATCCGGCAGGTCCACTGCCTCCGACCACCTGCTCCCAATAGGAAGCGGGATGTTTGAGCAGGCGATGCCCAGAGCCTGTGCCAGCGTTGTCGCGTCGACTCCGGCAGTTCGCGCGTACGCAACGCACGCCGCCACGACAACGGGCGCGGCGACTCCCCATATCTTGGAGAAGCCCTGGACATGGCCGTCCCGAACGGTCATCATGGGCCCGACGGCGCTGGCAATACGCGCCCCGGCTTCGTAGCCGGCCACAATGCCAACGAGCATGTCGGCTGCAGACTTGCCCTCCGATTCAGCAGCTGCAAGAGCTGCGCAGACCGCGGCACCGCCGAAGTGGACACCAACAGGGTATGTTTCATCGAGATCGAGCAGGTTGCTGAGGCGGGCGTTGGCGTAGAGTGCGCGGGCTGTGCCGACGGGGGACGGCGAGCCGGCGAGTGACGCGGTGCCTGGCCCGCCAAACATGGTGGAAAGCTGCTTGATGGCTTGAGCATGGCTTGTTGGGAGTGAAGCGTGTATGCAAGTCAGTGTGTCGAGCAGGAGAGATGAGGCGGCGGTGCGGATGTCTTGGGGGATGTCGGATATCGTGAGACTGCTGAAGAATGCGGCAAACTGCGCCGTCGTCGTCTGGTCCATTGTAGCGAAGGTCAACGTATCTACTGCCGAGTAATGGGTAACAATAAACCTGGTGAGCCCTCAATCGAATGTACCTTGCCACTCTAAGAAGTACGGAGAAACAGTCAACATGGGCAAATTCAGAGACACTGTGTGAGCTCTCTACTCTCCACAGTCAAGACAATCTTGTCGTTATCTTGCTTTCTCTAGTCCGAGAGTTAGATGCAAACCAAGCTGATCAATACAAACTATCGCCACTCCAACGGTTGACATCGGCCTTGTCTTTTTGACTCTCGCTCTCGTCCCACTTCTCCGCCATTGATGATATCGGACGCTAACAGGGATTTGCCGATGGCCTCGGATCCAATGAGAACGAGAGGACAGGTTATCGAGTCATGTCCACATAGATTCATGCTACCCCGGGTCAATGGCCCCGCGTTATCGACCCCAGCTCATCACGGCGAGCCAGGAACCCTGGAGAAACAATGTGATAGGTATCACCGTATCATTGAGGATCACTTGAATTTCCCGCCCTCGGCAAATAAATTACGTGTCAATGAGATCCACGAGCGATCTCGGGCCAACCTGCGAGCCAGCCGGCCGGTCACGCTCGCCGTCCCATACTCCGGCACAGAGAATGAGATCTTTCCCCTTGCAAGTTTTAATTTGCAAATTATCATGCAATAAATCGAAACGCCAAGTGTGGGTAAGATTAACAGATTAACCTATCCTGTAGTATTTCAGTTATTCACAACATGAAGAGTGAACGTGACCTTGTATCAACCCTAGGCTACAAACAAGGTTGATGTATTTCAAGCACAGACTGTATGATAGACGCCTTTAATGTTGGTTACTACTGTTGATTCCACCCATAATAGAGACCAAAATTGTTCATATAGACTCGAGAGCAATTTAGTAAAATTACCATTTAGTCTAAGAGCGAATCTCTGTTTGAAACCCGCAGTATAGCAATGATTGTTCAAGCCCCGCCTGAAGTTGTAGGATCATCTACAGCCTGGGCGTAGGGGAGTCGAACAAGAACTCGCCAACTAGTGCGCTCACTTCCTTGGCTACACCCCAACTAAACACGTAGCCACCGCCGCCTGTGCCATAGGCGTGAACTATCTTTTCTCCATCCTTGACTTCCTTCTCTACTCGCACACCCGTGGGCCTGTCAGGCCGGATGCCCACGTTGTAACGAATCACGTCATAGTCCGCTGGCTTTGGGCTGGTGAAGTGCTCCGGCAGATTCTCATGCACCCGGCGCAGAATCTATCCCGGAATTAGCAAAGAGAACAAGTCACGATGTGATAAACGAAACTTACGTCTTCTGTGATGGAGTCGTCGACCTCAGTGTGCCTATTGTCGACGTGGTAAGTGCGAGGTCCTGCTGCGCTCTCCTTTGATTTTCCCTTGAACTTACGTCTCCCCGTACTGCTTGATTCCGCCTAAGATGGCCGTGCCATCAAGCCTTGGAATTACATAGGTGTAGTCCTTCCCGTGGCGCATGAAAACCTTGTTATAGCTGGTCTTGGCGAGGACGGTCTGGCCACGGACCTGCACCATGTGCTTATCCGCCACGTCCGCCAGATACCGCGCACCGAGCGAAGTGGCGTTGATGAGAACATCATATCCGGAGCCCTTGAGATCGGCAAGAGAGTTGAGGCTCTTGCGGACGAATTTCACACCGGATCTCTCAAGCCGTTGGCGAAGCCAAGGAAGGAAAATGGTCGGTGTCAGGACCACGGTTTTGTCTGCAGCAGTATGAGTTCGCGATCTCGGGACTAATCACGGGGGATTGGGGACGACATACAACTCATTCCCAACTTTGCGTCTTTTGGCAACTCATGGGGTTCCATTACGCGGAACTGTTTGAACTGTTTAGCTATCCGTCTTCTTAGAAATGTTGGTGATCTACGTACCTCTGGCATCTGGTCTCGATACCAAACCTTGTCAAGTGGTGTCACGTCTTGAAAATCGTTAATCTCGATCATCTATGGCACAAGTACCTCGTTGTCAGTACTTTTATTTGTCGTCTCATCACGAAATGCCAATTTTACCCTGACGCTCGACTCTGGGTGAGTCTTGGCAAGCTGCCACCAAAAGGCAAAGGAATCAAGCTGCATCTTCTGCTCACGAGGGTTGGACCCGTCAAGCCCGAGGAAGACAGCACCAGCCCAGGGGCTGGCCCATTCGTGTGAAAGGTCGTCGCCAGGCAAGTTCCTAGCCACGACGGTGATGTCGCATGTCTTTGGTAGCAGGCTTGCGGCGGTTAAGCCTACGATGCTGTAGGACTGTTAGGAAGGTTCGTGTATGGCAGAGGCTCGAGAGGACATACCCAGCGCCAACAACAGTAACTTTAGGCATCGTGATAACTTATCTCAATCGATAGTCTGAAATTTATGGGTAAGAGGAAGATCAGGTGCAATTTCTTTGAGGAAAGGCTCCTAAAGGCTCACTCGAAACGGCTCGCTTGATAGAGTATTAAAAATAAGGAGGATAGCGGTTAGAGACGGTAGGCTTTATGATAAGTCAAAAGTCCGGTCCGGCATCGGCATAAATCTACACAAGATTCCGATCAGCCTGACTTCATTCAATCGGTCACGATGCCGATCCCTTTCGGGTTGCTTGACTCCATCGTGACTGGGGTTGGCTCGGACGCTAGGCGCCATTTCCCGAGCCTTACTTAGTTGGAGGCCCATGACAACCGCCTATCTCCTCATTAAATGCTTAGTAGATCGGAAATTCACGTTAGGTGCCGAGGTGGCACTTATCTCTACCCCAAGAAGCTTTTTGTGTTGCTCCACAAACTCCGCAACTGTTTGGTCGTCACTGAATCTGAATCATGAATCGGGAGGCATGGAGATCTCGGGGTACAAATAGCTATGGAAACCGCTGCAGTCAAAGTGATTCGACAAGCTGCATCTTCAAGACGACATCCTCGACTCAACACGATGGAAGCACCACAAATCAACGCAGACACCAAGCCCGAGAAGGGTGGACATGACTGTGCCTCCAGCCTCAAGGTGGGAGAGAGCAGCAACAATTCGGCAGAGTACAATAGATTCCTGGAACTGAGCCATGAGTTCACTGGAGGGAAGCTCAAGAAGCTGATCCGCAAGTGCGAGTAAGTAGTGAACTCTCACATGAAAGCGATGTCTCTAACACGATAGTTTCCGCGTGCTTCCACAATTGATTGTCATCTATCTCATGTCATATATCGACCGAACCAACGTCAGTAAGTGTTTGAACTGCCCTTGGCACTCGAGACGAGGGACAAAGAATCATCTGACCACCTCCCCCCCGTAGGTAATGCGAAACTGTTCGGTGTGATGGAGGATCTCGGTTTGAGCGGGCAGCAATGGAATACCTGTCTTTCCATCTTCTTTGTCACGTATGCCTTCGGTGGCGTGCCCTCCAACATCGCCCTGAAGCGCTTCGGCCCCAAGACCTGGCTCCCTGTGCTCTTGACCACAGTTTCGCTCATCTTGATCTTCACGTCACTTCAGCAGAATTACGCTGGCTGGGCGGCTTTCCGCGTTCTTCTGGGTCTCTTCGAGGCCGGTGTGTTTCCCGGGTGCTCCTTTGTTCTTACCCAGTGGTATTCGCCTGAGGAGGTCGGCGCTAGAATGGGCTTCTTCTACTCAGGTGCCTCCGCGGCGGGTGCATTCTCTGGACTCCTAGCGTATGGTATCGGTCAACTCGACCATACATGGGGATATCGCGGGTGGAGGTTCATCTACTGCATTGAAGGTTCGTTTTCCTCATTGCCATTGAGGAAGGTCTGATGATAACCCCGTATCCAGGTTTATTTAGTCTCTGTCTCGCCATCGCCGGCTTCTGGTTTGTATATGACACCCCCAATAACGTGAGCTGGCTCTCCCCCGACGAGAAGGAATTCCTTACTCTACGCCACAAGTTTTCGGCTGGCGGCGAAACGGGCATCGGGGAAAAGGAAAGCTTTTCCTGGAAGCACGCCCGGGCAGCCTTCCGGTCACCGCACATTTATGCCGTCGCCGCCACCGAGTTTACTCTTTGCGTTGCCGTCTACGGATACAACTTCGTACTGCCGACCATCATTCGTGATCTCGGCTACACTGCGGCGACCGCTCAAGCCATGACAGTGCCGCCGTATGCATTTGCGTGCATCGTTACTGCGCTCTCGGGTTACATGGCAGACCGATGGCAGAAGCGGATGCTGCCCCTCCTTCTATCAAACCTCATAGCGCTTGTAGGGTTCATCATCATGGTGGTCAGTGTGCGGTTCCCTTCGATTCCGGGAGTTACCTTGGTTGGTGTGTTTCTGGCCACGGCCGGCCTGTATCCGGTATCCCCGCTGGCGACGGCATGGATCTCGATGAACACTGCAGGGACGATGAAGCGAGCCGTCGGTATTGGCGCCATGATCAGCTTTTCTCAGCTCGGAGGCGTGAGTACTAATGGAGCAAAAACCATACTATTGATGCTTGTGCTAATCTTCACGCTTAGATTGTCGGGTCTAACATCTACATTGCAAGTACTGCTCCTAAGTATCCAGTTGGATTCGGCATCAGCATCGGCATGATTGGTGCGTTTGGATGCGTCTGGCCACCTCTGTATGCTCTCATTCTTAAGCGCATCAACGCAAAGCGGGCGTTGATGAGCGAGGAGGAGGTTAGAGCAAAGTATACGGATGACGAACTCGCAGAGATGGGAGACGAGAGCCCATTGTTCCAATATTCATTCTAGGCAAGTAGCGACTATCCTATTACTGAATGGGAGCTTGGACAGGGGCGAGCGGGGGATGAGCATCCCAAAGTATATAGCCTTAGGGAATGACATAAAATTCGTTACCAAGATGCACAACAGATGATGGATCAACGGTACTTTTAGATCACGCTCTATTTATGTGTTGCATAGAGGTTGCTTAGCAATTGGCGAACCATTTCCTCCCCTTGTTGCTCATTATCTATCTATCTAATGGTGAATTGTCACCTATCCTAACCACCCCTAGGGGCCCGGAAGAAAATAAATGTTTCCTAGTAGGGCACAATGAATGCTATAAAGTGTCAAGTAACTTGATCCCTATCGCTCGCATCACCTTCTTGGAGCATAGATGATCCGCTAGAATCCTCTGAATCTGACCAAGTCTCATCTGAATCCGACGCAGACTCATCCGAATCTGATGAAGACTCATCTGAGTCAGATTCATCGAGAGCGTCCTGGTCCCAAGGGCTGCTCGCCATCTCAAGCCGGAGGTCTTGGAGATCTGCCTGAATATTGTCCAACAGTGTTTCCTTGTCGCCAGAAGATAGATTGCCCCTTATACCGCGATAGAACCTAGCACTATGCTCATCGTTATATGCTTCTTTACAGTGAATTATTGCGGAGAGGTGGAGATGGGCCTCGGCTTCGTCGTTGCGGTCCAGCGCGGCGAGTGTTTGCTCGAGGAGCGAAAAGTCGTGGGCGAGATCCCGATCCCGGATGCCTCTATACAGCTGCACAAAGGCAATCATTTCAGCTGGATCTGGCTTCCGTTCGGGATGATCCAAGCGATGCATAAACGACATCCATGGAGTCCAACCCAGTTCTCCAGGAAGCTTCCAGTTGATGCAAGTCAATTCCTGGCCGTCGAGGAAATGCAAGGTTTCCAGATCCCCGCAACGGGCAGCGTAGTGCAGCAAAGTGTGTGAATATTTGTTCATTGCTGTGAAAGAAGGCCCAGCTCGCGCCAGACAACGCAAAGCGACATGGTTATTATGCCACACGGCTTCCATAATGGCTGTATCCCCAAAATAATCAGTTGCATTGATGTCTGTCCCTGGTGCATCGAGCAGCAAGTTGATGGTGGCTGCTATTTCGGCTGGATTCTGGTTGTCAGACTTTATCGCCCAATGCAGTGGCAAATGGCCAAAACGGGAAGGCAGCAATGGTGATGCTCCTTCCTCCAGCAACAGCCGCACCGCCTCAGGATTGCACTTATTAGCAGCATAACCCAGTGCATTTTGGTTAAATCTGTCTTGTTCATCAATGCGATTAATCCGCCTTGTCAAAAGCAGACTTCGCATACATTCCGTGTGGCCATAATGAGCTGCCAACATCAACGGAGTCTCCTCTTGGAATGATTTGCAATTGACGTCGGCACCCGCATCAATCAAATCCTGCACGGCCTGAGTGTGGCCTCTCATTACTGCGTGGTGCAACGGCGCATGTCCAGTCTCATCCCACGCATCGATCAAGTCCTTTGCCTCAACACAGCTTTCTTGCACTCCCGATCCCCGAATGGCGGCCTCATGAATTGCTGATGTTGTCACATCCGTCCCCCAGTCGACATATGAGACGACTTGTTCCAGCAGTCGTTCTCCTAGTTTACCCACTGAATCGAACCTCAAAGAATACGCCGCCCGATATCCTGTAATTCTAAATAGTGGTTCAATGTTAGCCTTGGCCCTGGTGTTTAGCTGCTGCCCCGAGATTGTTCATAGTACCTAGAGAGTCCATTTTCTACCGATATATTCTTCCATTGCAGTAGTAGAAACTCCAAAACCTGGAAATTCTTGCCCGCAACTAGAACCTTGTCCGGCGATTAGTTGTTCCCACTTCCCCAATTGATAGACAATGCATCTATACTCACCTCGACAATGTTAATACCGTACTCAAACATATCATCAGGAAAAAGGATCATTCCCCTGTCCATGGCCTGGCGAACATCCGCTACGGACTTCGCCAAAGACCGATACTCTTCTGATCTGGCGAATCTCAAAACTCTAACCGGACGTAGCGCACATTTTAGAGAATAGCGATGGGCACGTGGGGAAGAAGATTGTATCCACCACCATTCTGGAGGTCGCCATGCAATCTCCAGATCATCCGTCTTGTTGCATGGGCAATGCATATCCCACTGAGTTCTGGCTAGCTGTGGCTTGTATTGTAGTTCCCACGACCCTGACAGCTTCTTTATCCATTCCGGGCTGGAAACCTTCCGTGGACGAGTGTGACATCGGCACTCACACTGCGCTGGGCACTTCGTCCTCTGGAAAGCCACCCCCAACGCGGTAATTTGACCGACTAGACTCTGTGGAGGTGCGTCTGGTGTTGTTGATCCCTGCACATACGTGGCTGCACTTGTGTCGTTACTGTCGAGCTCATTACCCTCGTCATCCAGCTCGTGAATTCTCTGCGAATCCTTCTCGGTCTGAGCATTCAGGATCTTCTCTCGGGTCGATATCATCACCATTGCAGCGTGTGACATATGGTCAAGCTGCCTCTCAATCCCAGGTAACGATATGTCAAGCCGGCTCTTAACCTCTCGCAGTTCCGTGCTCGTCTGGTGATGTAGCGTCGACATGTGCATGCCAATGGCCATCTGTAGATTCGTCTTTGCTCGATGCGCCTTTTGCAGCATCCCGCCAATCTTGCCGCTGAAGATAACCCACTTCTTCTTGCTAACCCGCACGTCTCCTTTGGCTGTCTGGTGCTGGCACTTGACCTTGATTTCATCCAAGTCCCTTGATATTTCCGTAAGCGTAGATACGATCCTTCCAATCTGATCTTGTATTCCGGGCATCGAAGTTGTCTTCTCGCTATGCGTCGACGTTTGCTGGGCATGCCGGATAATTGTCTCGATGAATTCAAGCTGATGATAGATTACACAAGGTCAGAACCAACCCACAAAGACAAGGTCACATAGAATACATACCTCGTCACAGAGCTCTGCGTAGTCGGATTGAATCTCGGGAATCTTTTGCAGGAACTCGACTCCCTTGACCGCAATCTGGGCCAAGGTGGCAGCACTCGCCACGGCACCGAGAACTTCCATTTCGATCGTGCCTGGTCACAGGACAACCATCGCCGTCTGCAAGAAAATGGGAGAAAGAAGAGAATTCGGAAGTGTCAGAGGCAGCGAAGCGGGGTAATTTATTCTTCATGCTGCGCAAAGCCTCGTTGGGCGTCTTCCAATCAAACAGCTGCTTGTCAACGAGCCAGTGGAAGCACAGAGCTTCGCCTCAGCTTACCCCCTAAGCAGAGACAATTGGACGCTGCGCCGTTCTTGTAATTACTGCTCACCTGCAGAAATGTGCAAATTTCGTCTCAAAGCACACGGAAACGCCTCATTTGCGGTTTCACAACATCCCAAGGCAGACAGCACAGCCACAACAATACGACACAGCCCCATATGCTGTCCAGCCAGTGCTCTTGTAATGTGACTTGTCATTGATAAATATTATATAAAATCGTTACCAGAGGATCATACGGCTGCCACGGCGATGCTCGACGAGAGATATCCGGACTTGTCGAAGTCACCTGGTCAGTAGGTAATATCTGCATTGCGTTTGGCTGTCTGCCACAGCATTTTCTCGGCCTGCAATAAAAGGATAGTACGGAAGCTCATCGGCTTCGGTCGCGAGCGCAACCTCCCCATCCATTAGGTTTGGTTTGATGATTGGCATCGGGAGTGGAGCTTTGCCTTGTCGTATGCAGATGAATACGAACACGCAGCTATGATCAAACTGTTCTTTGAATATGAATATGAATCGATTCTGGGCGCCACTGAGAAGACAGGAACACCTACGCTCCTAGCTACGATAAACAATATATATAATGAGCACTCCGTGGGGCCCCGACGTCCGCTGTCGCGATCAGGGATACTACGAAGTCGAGTCAGTTAAGACCAACCAATGAGGACAAAAATAAAGCCCAGCCATAGCACAGTTTTTCAGTCAATTAGGATGTTTTTTGAATAAAATTTATTTGACTAATCAATTACTTATAATGAACAAGCCGTATGGAGCTATAGAAGCCCTTTAAAGCATCAGGTAGAGATAAAATTAAAAGATAAAAATGGGTTCTTGTTCTTAAAGGCTACGATCAACAACAGGGCCTTTATCCCTGTTGCCAGAGGTACGGAAGAAAACCACCTCTCAAATTCTCCCCAGGTGTAGCTACAAAAGCTTCCACTCTGAAGATCGTAAGATCAACTACGCCGACAAATCAGCGCGCCTTCGCCCTTCTTACCCCGCCTACAATGATTCACATGATATACCCAAGTTTGCATCCGGTAGATTGATTATCGTCATTATGAATGGCATAATCATGCCATTGATATTGATTGTCGGATGATGTCATGAAAACGTCTGGATTTTCTCAACACTATTCGCGAAAAGATGACGTAAAGTCGTCGTCAATTGCAACCCTTCATGAGGTGAAGTTTGATACATGCATGCGAAGGCTACATGTAGATAGACCACAGCTGACATGGTGCTGGAGACATCTACATATAAACCAAACAAATCCAATTCCTCTGAACAGCCCCAAGTCCGACGGAGCCAGTCCACGAGAGCGATGAATCGGAATTGGCCGGTAAATTAGAAACTGCGACTACCACGAATTCTCCTTTGATTATCGTATTTAATGATGTTTTCCAGACTTGTCCCGCGTGCCTTGAAGTCGGCCACAGGCCGCGGCGCGGCGCGATATCAACGTTTCTCTGTGCCCTCACAGAGCCTATCTACGCAAACGCCGAAGATCATGCTCGAAGACGAAAATGGCTTTGGCTTCGTTCACCACAATACCAGACCTCCAAAACCGCGGAAGGCGGGCGTGACGGAGATTCGCGGACCGTACTACTCAGCCATGGGCAAACGATATTTGCAAGATGTCCTAGAAACGTGAGTGCCGTGACGCGATTGCTGTTGACTTTTATACTGACCTCATTTACAAGGATGGGTCACCATGTTGACGGGCTCAAGTTTGCCGGCGGCTCCTTTTCACTCTTTCCCGAGGACAAGCTGAGAGAGCTAATTGAGATTGCCCATGAACACGGCGTCTACGTCTCTACCGTAAGCACTTCTGCCTGACACTTGCGATTACGGGCTTCTCTGACATAGCTCTAGGGCGGTTGGATGGAATATATTATGATCCAGTCAGATCCACATTCAGCCGTGGACCGCTACCTCAGGCAATGCAAGTCGCTTGGGATGGACGTGATTGAGATCTCTACCGGGTTCCTGTCTCTTCCGCCTGATGACTGGCTACGGCTGGTCGACACGGTGCACAAAGCCGGACTGATTGCCAAACCCGAGATTGGTATCCAGTTCGGCGCTGGCGGTGACACCGAGGCAGGCGAGCTGGAGAGCATGGGCACCTCGGACCCGTCCAAGGTGGTGAACATGGGCAAGCGGTTCATCCACGACGCTGGGGTCGAGCGTATCATGATCGAGAGCGAGGGCATCACAGAGAACGTGAAGAATTGGCGGACGGACGTCATTCATAGCATCCTGCGGGAGCTGCCACCGGAGAAGGTCATGTTTGAGGCTGCAGAGCCTAAAGTGTTCAACTGGTATGTCCGAGAGTTTGGGGCTGATGTGAACCTCTTCGTGGATCATTCCCAGATTGTGCAGCTCAGCTGCTTGAGGGAGGGAATCTGGGGCATGGCCGATACATTTGGCAAGATCACGACGTTCCGTTAACGGTCATTCTTAAGGCATATCGCTAGCAGATTAGCATCTACCAAGAAATAAGCCCCTACAGTTGTGAATTAAAAACCAAACTAATATGTAGGCAGCAATGAGTGAGCTTTGGGGTGAGGCCGTTTGTAATACTAGTGGGTCAGAGGGCCAATTACAGGGTTGGAATAGGTGTGGGATGGGTGCTAGGTAAGGTAGTATAGCAAACTCAACACGCCTACACTTCGAGGAGAGAAAAAGAGCAGAGAGGACTGGCAGCGGGCGAAGGATGATCATGAGGGGTAAACTGGGTTTGATGGGCCTCAACGTCACTGCCAGGGATCTTATGACGAGCGAAAGAGACCCTAAGCATCTAATTGACGTCATTTTGATTTCATCATGCGAGTCGTTCGCCCATCCAAGATCTTATACGTGGGGTTTGTTCCACGCCCTCTCGTCTTAGTCTAAGCAAGGGGAAGGCAAGGCGGTCTTTCATGCTACCTGCAGCTGATCTGCCATTTTTGGCTAAACCCGCCGTTATGTTTTTCCTGCCTGTAATTCGAGACGAAGCGTGAGCCAAAAACCACGCTGAAGGTATCAGTTAATGCTTGACATCTTATCATCGTAACAAGTTGACTCTTTTGTTCCTCTCGACTGTTCTATCTAGATACTGCGTCACTCCGGGAAACTCCATCCCAGACCTACGTACTCATTGATATTAGATCATTTGTCAGATAATCTTTATCTACAAAGTTTCTGGTTGTAAAATAGCAGAAGTGTGTTTATCAAGATGCACTCCAATATAAACCAACGGTCATCACTGATGTTGCATGATTGGTATACTATCTTATGATATACAAGCCTGGGTCTTTCTTCATCACGATCAACCCCCTGCTTCAAACTCAGGCATGTTGTAAATATCATCTGGATCTACTAAGATGTTAGCATGTCCTCTAGCATCAGCCGAGATTGCGGCTCACCTTTGCTATTTTCCTGAATGTAGCGCTTGACTTCAGTCACTCTCTCATCAATCGTAGCCAGCACTTGATCAAACACACCCTTCAACTTTTCGTCCCCGACTCCCACTTCTCTCGCAGCTCGGATAGCTCGCGAAGCAAGATCAAAACGGCTTACTTTGTTTACCATCATCATGTCGAAGGGAGTCGTCGTACTTCCCTCTTCTTTGTAGCCTTCCACAGACATGCGCTCCAATCTCGGCCTTCCAAAGAGCAGACCTTGCAGCTCGGTAGCATATCCGTGGTAGTTGAAACAAATCGGTCGATCCTCCGTAAACATCTGAATAAACTCAGAGTGTGACTGTGCATGGGGATGTCGAGACTCTAAAGCGAGGACCATGAGATCTGTAACATTGATAACACGCACACCCAGGCTGGGTGCGAGCTCGCGAAGGAGGTGAGCTGCCTTCACCGTCTCAAGCGTCACTTCAACGCCTATTCCGACAAGGATAACATCAGGCTCCTGTCCATCCTGCTCGTTTGATGCAAAGTCCCAGATCGAGGCACCTCTGCGGCAATGCTCTGCTGCTTCGTCGGCAGAGAGGTATGTTGCTGTGGGCTGCTTGGAACCGATCATGAGGTTCACGAAATTCTTTGACTTGAGGCAGTGATCCACAGTGCTCAAGAAACAGTTCGCGTCTGGAGGAAGATAGACCCGGCCAGCCTCACCCTTGATGTTGAGAACCGCACCGATGAACGAGGGATTCTGGTGTGAGAAGCCATTATGCTCCTGGCGAGCCCACGTGCTTGTTTCGATGTAATTGATGGAGCTAATGTCATTGTGCCAATCGGTCTGGCGTGCCATTTTGTTGAACTTACAATATTGAACCATCATCGTGTGCACAATGCCGAGAAAAGACTCATAGCTCGGGAAGAGAGCGGTGCGACCCGTGAGCGTGTAACCCTGCATGAAACCCTGACAACAGTGCTCCGAGAGAATCTCAATAACTCGGCCCCCCTGGGCACGTGAGTATTGGTCCCATTGGAAGTTGCGTCCGCTGTGTGATAAGATTGCGCTCAATTTATTACTCTCCAGTTCGTCGGGGGAAAAAACCCTGAAGGTCTTTGGGTTGAGCTGGGCCACTTGGTCGAGGAATTTGCCTGTTTCCTGCATGGCGCTGGCCTGTTCGTGTTTTTTGACAGCAAAGGTCTTCCAATTAGGTAGATCGAGGGGTGTATGCGAATCATACGCCATTTTGAATTGCCCAAGGCGTTTTGACTTATCACGAGGGAGAATGTTGAGAATGGTGTCGATAGGTTTGCCGTCCGGAATTAACTTTTTGGCATCGTAGCTCGAGAGCCAGTCCTGAAGGAGCTTCAAATGCTCCTCATTCTCCTTCGGTTTTGGAATGGGAATTTGATGTGCCTTGAAGGATCCCTCGACGAACTCGCCGTCAACCTGTTTAGGACCTGACCAGCCTTTGGGCGTGCATAGAATCAGCATGGGCCACCGCGGCTTGATGATGGGCTTTCCACTTCTCGCCGCTCTTTGAATGGTCTTTATCTCGCAGACGGCCCACTCGAGAGCGCTAGAAAGCTCTCTATCGATGTCATCGAGGTCTTTAACAATATAAACCTGGTAGCCATAGCCCGAAAAGAGCGCGACGAGTTCCTTATCATCCATGCATCCAAAAATGGTCCGTTCACTGATCTTGAAACCGTTGACATGAAGAATAGGAATGACTGCCCCGGACTCCGCGGGATCAAGAAACTTGGTTGAATGCCATGCCCTGAGCACGGTCAGATAGTTCCCTCAGAGCAAAATTCCACTTTGACTTACGCGGCGGTTGGACCACTCTCAGCTTCACCGTCACCAATCACGCAAGTGACTATTAAATCCGGATGGTCCATGACAGCACCAAATGAGACAGCGAGAGCATATCCAAGCTCACCACCTTCATGAATTGCGCCAGGGACCTCGGAATTGATATGGCTTTCCCACCTGTTAGTATTTCTTTCATATGATAAGATAAAAAAAGACGTTTCCCCTAATTCAAATAGAGATAACAGATGGACCTACCTCGGAAAGCCCGAAGGAGTAGAAAAGCTGCTGATGAGATTTCTGAGACCGTCTTTGTTGACGGGATATCGCTTGGGGTAAAATTTCTCAAGAGAGCCCTCCAGCCAGAGAGCTGCCAGCGCGCCAGGAGCACCGTGTCCTGGGCCAACAACGTACATCATATCCATGCCATGATTTCGAATAAGCAAGTTCAAATGAGACCAAACAAGAATAAGGCCTGGACATGTGCCCCAATGTCCAAGAAGTCGGGGCTTAATATGATCAAAACTAAGATCTTCTTCCAGTAGCACGTTATCTCGAAGGAATATCATTGCTATATATCATCGGTCATTAGGCCCAGTGATATCAATAAGAATGGGCAATGAACTCACCACCAGCGATGTAGCATGCTGCTCGCTGGAAATCTTTGAGAGATTTGAGATCATCTTCCTCTATCGTTTTTCTCTCAATCTTCGCCGATAGGTTGAGCGTCTCCTCGGGGAGATCGCTTGGTAAGGCCGGTGGATTGGGCCTGTCAATGACTTGGCCAGGCATCTTGAAGAGTGGAAAGTAGAGTATCCTAAGTCAAAAGCTACTACTTTAACTTGGACTGTATAATCCTTCAAGTGAAAGAAGAGTAAGTTTTCTATTAGATTTAAGAACGGGGAGGTGACGACTTCATCCAAGGAAGTTCGGATGCATGACGTCAGACTGACCTTCTCATGACCCCTTTCTCATTCACCCACTCTACTACCTTGCTGATCTACACAAGATATTTCTTGTATTAAGAGCTTACGTACACGCACGCCCTCAGAATTTATTCTCCCTGTAATGTGAATTTTCGTGAGCCCCGTCCTAAATTTTCTACATATGGGGATAAGGCAAAGGTACCAACTCAACTATATAAGGTTTAATGCTATTGAAATATAGTATGTAAAATGATGATGATGACAAAAAATAGTGATAATCATTAATAGGTCTATACGGCATAATGTCTTTAACATTCATCGGACTGCTTTGACTCTTTTCGCAATTGATAAGCAAACCTATTACTTGCCGATTTACACTCATCAATACACCTTAGACAGGCTTGGTTCTTTAGCGCTGCTAATTCATCAAGCTACCTTTTGAGTGCCTGTTTCCTCTAGAACCAGTTATACGATAATAATTGCCCTTCATAGGTTGAATCCGCCATAATAGCTTGAATCCTCGACTCACAAGACATTACAGATTTCTACTTACACGTTGCCGCGAATTCAAGAAATACATAAGAATAGAATTTTAATTATGAGACCTGTTGTAAGCAATTAAAAAGTTGTCTTAAGTTGAGGATAACCTTCTGCTTGAGCTTGGAGGTCGGCATATATAGATTCTGATTGATGGCCAGTTAGATGTCTCATTCTTTGAAGGTCTTCCTCTGCAAGGCTCTCCATAAATTCCTCCGGCTTCTCTGCGCCATTTCCCTCATCTTTTTCTTGTGGTTCTAGAGCCTTTTTGACACCAGAAGACTCTCCCACGAGGAGTAGCTGGGAATTTGGGTAGTCTAGGTGAACAGGCTTCGAAGGGAGCCATCGGAGGGACCGAAATTCGTCGATAACCCTAAGACCTCGTTAACGATGTGAGGATAAATAAAATCGCAATGAGTGCATACTTAGCGGGGAACTTAGGATTCTTTGGAAGTCTTGCACTCGCCGGCCCGGCATAGTTTGGATTTTTGGTACTTATTATGAAACTTCCCTTCTCCTTTATACCCAAATCCTTTTGCGCCGAATCCAACTTCTCGGGAATTGTGAGTATGTAGACCAAATGACTCTCTCGTCCTGTAGTGGTGAGGGCATATACGCCCTCTCCAACTGGGATAGCCGCGGGAGTGTGTCTCGTTCCCACTGTCTTCGTTTCATAATCCGCTCCAGCCAGGAAACTCTTCTTTAGGTTTTTAAAGGAAGCATTTGACTTCTCCACGAAAATCATGAAGCGATCTTTTCCACTGAGCGGAAGTTTCTTCTTGGGAAGCGCGAGGAGACGGTTGTTGCGTGCATCACCGATCGGTCCGTCTCCGAGCTTCGCATCTTTCTCGATTGGCCGCAGCAAGATGTACGTTCGCGCGATGTCCTCAACGCTTTCGGGATTATCAATGTTGACCCGCCCGCGAATGAAGAAGTAGATGATGCCCTTCTCTAGTATGCTGGGGGGGACATCTGGTTCTTCTCCTAACCTAACGGCGCTTTGCTTCTGGGCCTCCGACTTGTCCACCTGTTTGGATGCGATGCTGTCTGTTTTCTCGGTTTTTCGGCCTTTGTCATTCTCTAGCGACTCCTCAAGCGTCTGTTGTTTCTCAGTCTTGATCCGCCGAGGATTAGGTGACGCCTCGTGCTCCGTCTCGTGTTTCTGGCCTGTTGTGCTTTGGTCCCCTTTCTGGTGCTTTGATCTGGCCATGCTGGAGCGTTGAAAGTCCTTACGCGTATATTGATACCTGTATTAAAGTAGCGGTTGAGGAAATTTGTTTGCTAAGAGAAGACTCTGGAGACAAACATCCAAGATCTACAAGTACGATTTATATGAAGCCGTGGTTCGATGAGGTGCATCTTCGGAGTGGTGATGTCATTAAAACGCATCGACTTTAGCGTTCATTTTATTGACGTAAGTGGTTATATAATTTCATTTCCGCTTCTTCCGGCGTCTTAATTAAAGTAACTTCAAGTTCCTGAATTGCTTCTTAAAGTACGATCGAGCACAAAGGCACTTACTCTAATAAACTAACTATTTCACAATCTCCTTAGTCTCCCTCTACTAAAGACAATCCTCAAACTTGGCCTTATTGGATGTGTGTACCTATATTTAAGATACATCTACGAGGGGTTGGATTGAGCTATGCCAGGGATATTGAAGGGCAAGAGTAATTACAACGCTAGGAATATGATTCATTGTGGTTGCGTAGCACTGTTTGACTACTGTAGCTGATGCTATGTGGACGAAAATGCATTCTATCCTGAAACCACCAGCCAAGATTTAGGCACACAGTTAACTAGGCAGACGTTTCTACCTCTTGCATGCACTGCCTTGAAAATTCAAGCATAATAGGGGCTAACTAAGAAGCCCAACCCAGCAGCCCAAGAAGGTTTTGATGCACCATATTGAAGTAGTTTTGTGACAACATAAAGGGTAAGGAATATCAAAAGAAAAGAGGGATTTTGTCTCTCTAAGGCCTAGTTGCCTAGGCCAAAAGACCAGCTTTATCCGTAACCAGCTGCAGATACAGTCCCCAACCGATAACCTAGTCACCTAGCAATCTATACGATGATTATATACAAATCTCCCTCACCACCCTCGATGAGCTTGGTAGATATTTCGATATGCTCTTGGTCTTGCCTTTTTTCATTGGCTGCCACATTTTCCAATGCTTTGACATCAGAATCTTCATCTTCCGAGTCCCAATCAAACTCCTCCTCTTGATCATCCTTTGGACCCATGGTCAGGTGGTGGCTCTTTGCACGCTTGGGCAGACCAATGAAAAGAGATTGACGGATACTCATGGATGAGTAGTCCAGCTTAGATGAGTTCCTGACGACAGAGTACGAAACTGCAATGATTTCCTCCTCGGCGACATGTCTCTGACCGCTTCGCCCGAAGCCTCGGGAGCCATTTGCTCCAAAGCTAACATACGGCAGCCCCGGTACAGAAACTCCACCAGCTGCTGCACTAACTGGCGAAACGCCAAGGGCTGCATCGGCGCCTTTGCTCTCCGCCGCCTCTATAGTCCAAGTAGCATCCGTTGCTGTAAGAAAACCGGTGATGAAGTAGGCTTCTTTAGATGATGATTGTGCCAGTAGCGCCTGGGCATCTTTAGCATAATGCTGATTGCTCATCAATTGTTTGAAATGTTGGTCGGCGTTTGGGAGTCTATAGCGCTTCGCAACACGGCACTCAAGCCTCCGTGTCTCGCCGCGATTGTTGCCAATTTCAATGTTGAATATTGATGAAAGCTTGACGAATATGCCCTTTTTTGCGAAAACAGTTGCTTCTTCTCCGTTAGAGGTAGAAATGGATGGCGTTGGTAGAATAGAAGGGATGATGTCGTTGGTATTGTGGTCTGGCACACCGGGGTAGTTGGATGGCGCGTAATTCAGGAGAGGCGAAGTAACGCATGTAACAAGTCTTCCCATGAAACTTTCAATTTCACCAGATGGAACTGGTTCGTCTAAAACGAAAAATCTTCCTGCCTGAGCGGCCATAGTGATGTGATGAGCTCTAGGATGAACCTGTCCACTATGAGAATCGAAAGTGTCAGAAACCACCGCATAGCTTCTACAGGCGGGGGACGCTATTAATAGCTAGAGATAATGGAACAACCTTTATCCATGTAAGCGCGTATTTGTAGGACACTGCCACGATTCACAACCAACAGCCAACCAACAGTCAACCAAAAGCGGCGAGGTAGCATTGAAAATGAGAATTCCATTACCCAATGGGGCGGGGTAAAAATTTCCCTTGACTCTGTATTTCCCTCAGTTGTCAAGAAACATTTCGAGGCCGTCCTACTATGCCTGAGTCTTTGAAGATCGAGCTGCGTATCATCTGCACGGCAACTCTCGAGAGTGGCTGGTTGGTCGATATTGAAAATGGCAATGAGAAGATCCAGTCGGATGTCAAACTCACAGATCCATTGACCCCCGAACAAACCTCGACGTGTAGTTGGTATCTCGAACAGTACTCTCAGAGCGATCCCTTTGCAGTGGGAAAGGCTAACGAGGCTGAGTCACTGCTCAATGCATATCCCAATCAATTGCTAAGTCAATTGAATCTCAGAGACGCTGTCAGCGCATATCATGATGAGGCAATCAGGTCTCTGCATGAAACCCTGCTTTTTATCAACGTTTATCAGGACGAAACTGGCAGCGAGCAGAATGTGAAGCACGACGTCCACCAGCTACTGTGGGAAACACTAGAGGACCCGGCTCTCTGGAGCTACACACACTGGCGTGTAATTGTGAGCCGATCGTGGAGAGCATGTCAGCAAGAAGATATTATCCTGACACAAAAAATTGATACAATGCCACACAGAACAAATGCGCTGAATGTGCTTTTGGTGGTGGCAAGAGATCTCAGCCAGCACCCATCTGTTTACAATGATGTCGATCCCAACGTTGCTACATCTACCCTTCTGCAACTGCGTGATCGGCTTAAGACAGCATTTCATGGCATGGAACTCAATCTTGAAGTGGTGCGTCCAGGGACTTGGGATGCCTTCAAGGATCATCTAATGTTGCGTGGGAGAAACTACTTCCATCTTGTGCATTTTGATCTTCACGGCAGCATTGGTACAAGAGCCAAAAAGCATACGAAGTATGGGCTACTGTACTTTGCTCAGAAAGATGGAGATGAGACCACTCCAGTCCCCTGCCAGAGAGTAGGAAAGCAACTAGGTGATTACGGTGTCCCTCTGATTGTAATGAACTCATGTGAATCGGCAAATGCATCACAGGGGTACGACGCCAATCTCGCAAAGCAATTTCTAGACAAGGGCGTACAGGGTGTTCTTGGAATGTCCTTCAAAATCGTGAGCAGTGCAGCGGCTCTCTTCTTGGAACATTTTTACACCGCCTTGATGGTGCATCGATGCTCTTTGGCCGAGTCCGCCGCCTTTGGACGAAGAGCACTTCGCATAAACCCCGCCCGTCCTTCAAGATATGGCCTTGAGCGGCGTTTGAAAGATTATTTTGTTGCAGTCTCCTATAGCAATAGGAAAGACCATCTTCATATTCCAACCATGCGCCTGTCTGCGACGAGATCTGCCCTAAGCATACCACAGCTGTTCGATGGGAAGCCCGGCGGCATAGTTGCCAGCGAAGTGCAAGGGCCTATTGGGCGCGAGTTCGATATCTTGCGCCTTGAAAAGTTACTTGTTCAAGGCCGTGTCGTCTATCTCTATGGGGTGTATGGCGTCGGAAAGACTTCCTTGATTCAGCTCGCAATACCAGCCTGGAAAAAGACCAAGTTTATTGAGGCTGTAGTCACATTCAATTGCACCACCCCTGAAGATTTGACTGCTTCCAGCTTTTTGTGCAGCGTGCTACGCCAACTCCTTTCGCAAGTTAACCATACACACCAGTCGCGATTTTGGACAATCCCTTCAGAGAATTTGGAATCTTCCGATGAAGAAATGATGGACAAGGCTATTCTCGATATAATATCAACCAGTGACGTGTTGATCGTTATCAATGGGTTAATGCCCTCGTCTGACATTTTCTCCTTCAGTACCAATGACAAGGCCGTAGCCCATATAGGGGGCATTATCTCGTCCTATATGTCAATTGCTAAAGTGAAAGACAGACCAAAAAGATGCTTTGTTGTAATTTCTGAACGAAGGAGTAATCCGAATCTTATTGGGCAGCGGGTAAACCATCTGTTTGGGGAATATTGCTATGAGCTAAAGGGCTTGGACTTTCCAGACGCAATTGAACTCTCGACCAGGATTCTGAAGGCCGCTGGGGAGCCAGTTTCTCAATGGAAATCCGAGGATGCTAGTTGGCTCGATAGCATTGTCCAGCTGCTCCAAGGAATTCCTTCTACACTGTTGGATATTTTACCACTCCAACAATCGCTCGGTATACCATGGCGGCATTTCTTCGCCCATTTACATGGAGGCATATTCAAATCTCGCTCTCAACTACGCCAAAGCTCATTAGAAAACTCTGCTCTGGTCGGTGAGCTCAGTCATATATCTAGGTTTTACAATCCGGCCCATTCCTTCCTGCTGTTCATGCTCAGTACTTGCTGGCATGAGGCCTTGCCTCTTGAACATGCTCACTGGATATTTAAAAAACTTCAAATTAGCCACCTACAGCGAGATTTCTATCATGGAAAAGACGACCCAGACAGGTTCTGGATTACAACCTTCTACGCTATGATGCATGATCGAGGGTATGTGTATGCTAAGACCGGTCCCAACGAGCCGGTCATCATCCACCCCACGTTCAGTGTAGTTGGCAGGGCATTCTTTTCGGATTGCCTCGGTCTGGGGAATCGAGTGCAGTTTAAAGCTGCATTTTGCACAGCCTTGACAGATTGGTTTGGTCGCCAGGACGTGGACGGGAAAGTGGACGCAACCACCTTCCAATCGCAAACTTATAACATTCTCACCGCGGCCAACTATTCCGCTCAAGAAATTCCCATCGAGCAATGGCCACTCAGTGTACTCACAGCCTTTGGAGAACAGGACTATGCAGGTTTCCCGCCCAGCCTGCGTCATCACCTGCTCGATCGACAGCTCGAAGTGGTGGACGCTGCTTCACGCAAAATTCCCCTGTTGGACAACAAAGCTGACCACTTGTACTTTTTTGCTATTATTCTTTACATGCATCTTATGCATTCGCCGGACACTTTCAGAGACTGCAATAAAATTGCCAATCTCTCTCAAAAAGGGCTCCTTCTACTCGCATCATCTGGAAATGATGATGCGCTAGATAAGTTCAACTTCAGTTCTGCCTATTTGCTTTTGACTTCCATTCTTTCGCTAGAATTTCTCGGCAAGCACTCGGAAGCCTGCATCAAGTGGAAAGAGCTGGAAGGAGTACGGCCCAAGTTGGATTTGCCTCCCCAAGCAAACGGGGTCCTTTTTGCGGATCTTGCGCCGTTGGAAACCACCAATCAAATGGAATACTTTGAAGCCGCGTTGGCCGCTCTTCAAGAAATACCCCAAGTACACTTGCGGCTCCTAATAGCTGGGCTTAGCTTAGCTAGTCTTTCCATGTCGGGCAAATATAAGCCATTGGTGGATGCTCTAGACGAGGAAAACATAAGTCTTGAGATGTATTTGGATGCTATCTTCTATGAGAATGCTCCATTCGCAGAACTGGGCATGACCGTTGGAGATATCGAGCATATTTACGACCTGATTCAGTTCGATCCTCGAAGCCTTCCATCCGTTTCGCTGTCTGACGTCGCAGCTCGAAGTGATGGGTTGGAAACCCTCGAGTTGACGTATGACACGGGTGACTGGGAACTTATTTGTCAGAAACATGCCCACATGGTGCAGCAGGCAGCAGAAAAGAATCAATTCGATGAGGCCCTTATTCACCTCAACGCTCTTCGGAAGACTCTCAACAAAGCCGCAGCCCCCGAAGCTCTACTTTCAGCCGTGGAACGCTGTGAGAGTAGATTGTCATGGGCAAACGCCATATACGTTTGGCATAATACAATTTTTCCCTCTGAGTATTTTGATCGCGGTTATGGCGTTATGCGGCCGCACGAGTGGGTGAAGGAGTATACACCATCCGCCAAAGGAGTTCGTGCATCGGGGAAATTTGCTCTCCTGTGGCCGCATAAAGACGAAATAAGTGAGAAAGACGACACAATGGCATGGCATGTTTGGTGGAAGTGGATACACGAATCTCAAGGCCAGGACGCAAGCTGGATTTCCCGAATCCACCTCGAGGATGCCCGCTTTGAAGAGGAGAGAAAACTTCTTCAGACTTGCTTTCTATATGTCGCACGAAATGATCTTGAGCAAGCTCACGGATCATTCAATCAACTTGAAACAGTCTGCAATGAGGGCATATTTATGCTGGAACCTCCACAAATGTCACCATTGCACATGATCAGGGACTGCATCGAGCTTGCGTGGGAACAACACAAAGCTGTGCAATACGTCGTGTCTACGATGGCTAAAGATTTTGAAGCGAATAGGGTCTTGATAGAGGACTTAGCATTGCTCAGACCCAGATTCTGTTCTTGGATGACAGACAAATCGATTCAAGGGTTCCATTTCGCACTGGAGAAGTCGAGGCTTATTCGTTTTCAGGCAGTGTTTTCTGGGATCAATCCCGTGTACTCCACAAGGCAGGTTCAGGAGCAATATCAACTGTTTGTGCGGCTTCTTGAAAACGGGGAATTTAGCCGTCTTCAGCCACATGATGTGTTGTCAGTCCGACATCGGGGACTGGAAAAGTTGGTGAATGATTCTATCGAGTCCAGATTGTGGAGAGAAGGTATGAAGTACTGCGACGAGTATTTTGCAGTCTCCGATTCATTCTTGCAAGAAAATCCGAAAGGGCAAGAGGACTGGATTTTGGGCAGGCAGAAGTGCGAATGGTCGTTGACAATTGACTCCTTGACTGAAGCTGAGAACGAGCAAGATTTCGACAAGTGTCTTGAGTTGGTCACACATATTGAAAGGATGCTGAAACTACAATCAGATACGCGCGGAATGCCTCGTCACATAGTATTCTCATTTCTTGGTGACCAAGCCTTGGCTTTTCTGAAGCAATGCTATCACGACTGGTGTCTTCCTTGCGCTCAATGGGTACATGAAGTTTTAAAACAGAGATCAGGCCCTAAAGCAAATGCCAAACCAAAACTTGAGCGCGAGGCAGAACGATTCTACAAGCGTTGTCTTCGCCGTCTGCGCGCGTTTAGCCGAAGAGTTCCCACACGGAAACTAAGGGTTTCGGTATCAGGACGCAATGGACAAGGCCGGTTTGACTTGGTCGGTGCGATTAAGCACTTGCAAAGGAAGCAGCGCATTCAAAATGAAAACTCGCGAGAATGTGGACATGATCGCCTCCAGTTTCGGAGACCATTTGGATGTGCTCATTACTGCCATGGAGGATACTGCTTACTGGGTTGATTTCCAATATATTCAGCGGCAGAATGGGAGTGTAGAGTTATTACACAATAGTATTATCTGGTATATTGCTACGAGGAGCTTTGCAGGAGAGCTATGGGAGAGCTACAAACAGAGAATCATCTTATTATCTCACTCAGATTCCATCTCATCATTCATTCATTCTAAAATTGTGGCAGCCTTTGGTATGCTCATTTTGTAGAATAGTATTCAGCTGTAGAATTTCGCCCCTATAAATACTAGTAAAATAGACCGCTAAAATAGGAATAGCACATTTCCTTGGAAAGTGCAAAGGCATTTGGGTTATACAATTGTTTACTCAATGCAACTCGGATCTATCTCGAGCGGTGGTTGAGGTGTAGGGTAGGGTGAATAAAACTGGTTTTCCGGCTGTTGTTGCTTCTTAATGTAGGTGAAAAAGACACTACCACACTGGTTGACGCCACGCGGAAGATTTACAGTGAGGCTCGTGCGGTCTATTAAGCCCTGGTGCCATCTAGATCAATTGCTTTATGCAGGTTGGCTGCATGTGGGAATGGCACAGAGTGAAGCGCCAGGATACTTTAACCCGAGCTGGACGCTAGTTCTAGCCAAGAATAAGATGCAGTGTGGTGCAGCGGTTGTTGGTGTCAGCTTCGTGCTGGGATGCTGACACTGAGGAATGGAAGTTCTCCTCGTGATACACTGGAATTTCTGCTCCTCTTTCTCTGGTAAGGCTCGACTGGAATGCTAGTTCTCTTCATTACACGCCATCTACTTGTGGAAGAGATCGGCAATGAATACCACTGGCTTGGGTCCGTTCGCAAATCAACCTGGAGGCAACGTGTGCCTAGGTACAACATCATTGATGGAGTCTAGACCCCTGGCCCGTCCCACTGATCCCCAACTATCCCTCAGGAGAGTTTCCACGGCGCACACTAGGCAATTAGGCGGCTCTAACAAGCTCATACGCACGCTTCCACGAGATGGAATCAGGTACGTGGCTGCTATTTGACCATCACCTGAGCCGCCATCGTCTGGGCTGAGGAATGGTCTGGCTCCTCGCGTCGACACGCGGACCCAGGCCCAGGAGTCCTCACCTCCCTCCCTCGGCTACAGTGCTACTTGATCAGGCTCCTTCAGGATCAGCCCATCACACGGGATCCTGGTAATTGTTGGAAGCCACGCAGCCATGGACCTACCTAGGGCTTCAGCTCTACCGCCCAGCCCTAGTTCCTCCGCTCCGGGGAGAGAGAAGCGCTCCGTTCCGCCTGTTGAAGTTGTGTCATTTATCAGGACCTCCCCGCAGCAGCGGATCCTCTCGTCATTTGATCCATTTCTTCTCCATCACTTTGTTTCCTAGCACACTTGGCAGACCCTCGCTGTCTGGGTACGTCTCGGGCTCTATCTAGACGCCGATACTTCTTGGGCAGGGCAAGACACCACCCACACAGCTTCAACAATCCTCAGAGAAAATGTCTCGTCCGGCCGAGCACGACGAAGCGCCAGCACAAGCTGCGACGCCCAATTCCCCTCCTGCAGCGACCGGGACAGCAGAAGACCAGCCGACGCAACCGAACGAGCCACCACACACAGAAGATGATCATGCCCCGATCGAAGCAGCCGAGATAATCCCCGCCGACCGAGCCGGACTTACCGACGACGGCTACGAGACAGACAGAGAGAGCTCGGCGTCGACGTCGGTGACCAGCTCCATCCGCGACTATGAATTCGAGAACAGCAGGCGATACCACAAGTTCCAGGAGGGGAGGTACCAGTTCCCCAACGACGAGCCGGAGCAGGAGAGGGAGGACATGAAGCACGCCATGGTGGTTCACCTCTGCGACGGCAAGCTGCACTTCGCCCCCCTCGACAACCCCCAGAACATCCTCGACATTGGCACGGGCACGGGCATCTGGGCCATTGACAGTAAGTTCCGTCCTTATGAGACAGACAGCGTCCTGTCGCGCTATTGGCATCGGCTAACCTTGCCGCCTGACAGTGGGAGACGAGTTCCCCGAGGCGGAGATCCTGGGGATCGACCTCAGCCCCATCCAGACGCCGTGGGTGCCGCCCAACGTCCGGTTCATGGTCGACGACGCCGAAGCCGAATGGGTCCAGGCGCCCAACTCCCTCGACTACATCCACATCCGAAACATGACGGCCGCCATCCGCGACTGGCCGGCGCTGCTGTCGCGCGCGTACGAGGCCCTCAAGCCGGGCGGGTGGATCGAGCTGCAGGAGCTGTGCCTCGAGCTCAAGTGCGACGACGGCTCCCTCAAGCCCGACAACAAGCTGCAGGAGTGGCTGGGCCTGGTTCGCAAGGGGCTCATGACGTTCGGCGTGGACATGCTGTCGATGCGGAACAACAAGCAGAGGACGCTCGATGCTGGCTTCGCCAACGTCCAGGAGAAGGCGCTCAAGATCCCGTTTGGCATCTGGCCCAAGGACAAGAGGATGAGCATGATTGGTTTGTACTGTAGGACCATGATGGTGGATGCCCTCCACGGCGTGTCCAGCAAGCCCTTCCTACATGGCTTGAAGTGGACGCCGGAGCAGATTGAGGTCTATCTGGTTGGAGTGAGGAAGGAATGCTATGACTACACGCAGCATACGCATATCCCGTTCACCTCAGTCACAGGGCAGAAGCCAGAGTAAAAGGCGGTACGGTTTATGGAATGAATGTGTGCTGGGAGGGTTTGGGAGTCGTCTCCCCGGGTTTGGTCTTGGCTAGGTATTTTACGATTGATGAAGCAGAACTATTGGCATTTCTCTCTGACAACTGACTTGATACTCTGGGAGTATCACATCTCGTGTCTCATGCCCGTGCCCACTTGTTCTCTCCTTGCACGAACCCCCTCCCCTCCTCCAGGCTAAGGACTCCTTCGGGAATAACCAGAGGCCCGATCGCCGTCGTCTCCATTCCTTGGGTGGACGGAATGGAGCAGCCGTCTGGGCTGATCCTACCACTAGCCTCGCTCACAACGACGAGCGGGGTTGTCCAATCCGTAAAGCAGCTGTTACGGCTGCCCCTGATGGAGTGGCACATGCCTGGACTAACTATGCGCCTTTTAAATAGTCCGCGAGTTCCACCTGTTTCCTCCAAGGAGATTGGAGCCATCGTACCCAGCCCACCCAGATGACCGGGGCACCTTGGAAGCAGAGGGTTCAGGTGCAGGCATTAGGTCAGAGAAAAGGAGGTTTCGTTAAAGGAAAGCTGCTCGCGGTTGCATGCCGCGGTAAGTGTTGGGTAGCACTCAGTAGGTAGATCTCCTCGATGCGACAATCCGAGACCAAGTACATAGATCGTTGGCCCCCTCGCCCATCCCACCAGTTCCAGTCCCTCGGGTCATGTCCTATTAATAATTGCTTTTCCTCATACTGGCGTACCAGACTCCCGGGATCAACTTGCTAATAATACCCACTAACAGGACTTTGGTCCTTGATTCCACCAAACCAACGGCCAACAGCTGTTCATTTAGCTGCATAATTTGTAAATTCTGCTTGCCCCTCCCTGCTAATCGGATCCTGTGCATTAAGCAAACATGGCTCCCGCCTCAGTGGAGCGCATGACAGCGCTGTCGCAGGAGATTGCCGCCAAAACCAAGATCATCACCGACTATCTCACCGCCAACAACCTCGATGCCGCGTCCTACGATGTCAATGGACTCGCCGAGTTTCCTATCCCAATTGAGGAGGGGGAGACGTACAAGGCTCGTCTTGACCTCATTGCGCTGACCAAGGAGCTGCATGACATTGCCCTCGGCCCCAGCGAAAGCGTGCGCTATCTGGCATGGGATGTGAGTTCTCACCATCAATTGCATCCATAACTATTCACATGAGAGACGGCGACTATCACGATGAAAGGGACATTGTTACTAATCGCCAGCTCCCGCTCCAGGGCGTCAACAACCTCTCGCTCCAGGCAATCTGGGACTTCAAGATCGCCCAGGCCGTCCCCCTCGACGGCATCATCTCCTACGACGACCTCACAGCCAAGGTCAAGGACCTGAACAACGGCCTCGACACCCCGATGCTCAACCTCCGCCGCATCATCCGCCACGCCATGACCAACCGCATCTTCGTCGAGCCCAAGAAGGGCTTCGTCGCCCACAACCGCTCCTCGCGCCTGATCCTCGAGAGCCCGACCATGAGCAGCTGGGTCGGCTTCATGTGCAGCGACCTGGGCCTGCCAGTCGCCAACGTCGTCAACGCCATGAGGAAGTGGCCGGGGAGCGAGGAGTCCAACGAGACGAGTGTGAATCTCACGTATGGGCAGGATCTGCCCTGGTTCGACTTCATCCAGAAGGACAAGGAGTTTGCCAACAGGTATAATCTTGCTATGGCGGCGCATGGAGTGGGCGAGGGATACTCTGTGCAGAGAGTTGTGGAGGGTTACGCATGGGACCGTCTACCAGAGGGCGCGACCGTCGTGGATGTGAGTGACACATCCTAGATAACAGGATCCCTATCCTGCTGCCTACATCATTTAACAAGCGACTAACCTTCTCCTTCACAGATGGGCGGCAACCAAGGCTACGTCTCGTTCGCCATCGCCGAGGCCTTCCCCAAGCTCAACTTCGTCGTCCAGGACACACCCGGCATGCGCACCCCCGAGACCATCGGCAAGGTCCCAGACGCCCTCCAGCCCCGCGTCCAGCTGACGACCCACGACTTCTTCACCCCCCAGACCGTAATCGCCGACGCCTACTTCTT